TAGTTAACATTGAGTATTATGTATTGTTATTCCTGTCTCTTATACACATCTAGATGTGTATAAGAGACAGCTCTCTCTCTCCGCACTTTCTCAAGTCTCAACGGTACAATCTCTCTCTCTCTCTCTCTCTCTCTCTCTCTCTCTCTCTCTCTCTCTCTCTCTCTCTCTCTCTACTCTAGGGGAATTCCAGACTCTCTGTACCTGTCGATGATGATGTTTGTGAACATGTCCTCTTCTATTTCCGGGCCATTCTTGCCTTCTCCGATCGGCTCTCTGCAATACTTCTCCTCGTCGAAGTTCTCCCACTCGTAGACGTGATCCAGCGCTGCAAAATCTTTGAGTGTTGCCTCCGGAACCGCCTTCTGAATCTTTTTCCTGATGTCATCCAACCACCGCACAGTGAACACCAAATCATTTTCAGCATCCTCTGACAAATGAGATCCTTTAAATTTCAAAGTACGAACCTCTGAATGATTCTTCAGAAGGTGTACGATTACAAAAATGTGCCTTTGTACCTTCGTAATCTTTGAAATACCTTTTCTGAATTGAGCATAATTTGGTTTTGTTTTCTTGCTTAATTAGCTCAGTTGGCTAGAGGCTTAGAGCAGTCCCAAAAAAAAAAAAAAAAAAAAAAAAAAAAAAGCTGGGTGTTTTTCGACATGCGTCTTCACATTTCTTTCACTCTCCCAACAGTTATACCTTTCTCGGCCTTTCGGCTATAAATAGATCAAGTGCAGAGTATCTGTTCTAATCAGTTCAATATCAGATCCGTAGTCCATCGGGCCGATGATTGAGCCTTATTTAAAAAAAAAAAAAAAAAAAAAAAAAGGAAAATTGTATCTGTACCCCACTTAAAGATGGGCATATCCGCTATATACTCAGTCCCAACGCGAACTTGCATCTATACCCAGACCCCATTCAACTTTTCTTAGTACCCAACTTTTCCCCTGTGCGAAATCATTGTCGTACCTACTACCCAGTACTATCAATGATCAGAGGCCCTACGCCCGACGCACGGAAACTACCAATTGTGATGAGATATGGTCCAATCCTCGAGGTGACATGAGGCGCAAGAGCGCACATTGTTTTCGCCTAAGGCCCTAAGGTAGTTTCTTTGCCTTACTTTCTTTTTTGTTTTTGTTTTTTATTGCCTTACTTTCTAGGCGACTCGAAATGGGAACTCCACTGTATGCGGGAAACTCCTCGAATAGATAGAATACAGGCCCTCCAATCCAGACCGCGAAATTGCGCTCATGCCCAGAAACCGGGCTGCAAATTTGTGGGTGTACCAATACCCAGGGGGTGACCATTGGATGGCGGCCCACGAAATTATATGCTCATGCCCACCACGTGGACCGTTGTTGCCCAGCGGCTGCTGGGTATGAGCATAATTTCAGCCATCCGGTAGTACGCGGTATAGGAATAATTTGGGCGGTCCCCAGTATGCCCATAATTTTGCCAGGGTATGTCTCCATAATTTGGTCATTCCGGTAGTTGGTCACAAGTTATAACCGCGATTTTGCGGTACCGCCCGGGTCCACCTCAGTCCTGGGCATGTAAATAACTTCCACCGCCCATTTGCCGGGTATAGATGCAAGTTGGTGCTGGGACTGGGTATAGCGGGTATTCGCATTTTTAAGTGGGGTACAGATGCAAATCCAAGGAATATGAGCGGGCACGATAGACAGAAATCCAAATTGCAAAATCACGAAGTAGCCCAGATAGTCATGTACCAAGCAGAGAGCACAATGCACCAAGATATCATCCAAGTACAATGAACTTGAATGTCAATGCCGACGCTCTCTGGCCACACACAACATAGTAGTATCCAATGTCGCTGCTACTGCCCAGCGCCCAGCCTACAATACTCAGCCTACCTAGCCTATCTACGTGCATGCAACAGGAGCACATCGAAGTTGAAGACCAATGTACATGACGTGAGCACCAATGCAGACCGCCAGCATACACCAGATACGTTCTCTCTCTTTCCCTGATCACACCCTGTCCCCCCACTGCATGCACCTCCTACCCGAAGACCACCATCGCCATCACCGGCCACCGCACGCGCAGCCCGGCTATGGCCGCCGTGCGCCTGCTGCCACCACAGCGCCCTCTCACCTCTAAGCGCCCGCATGTGCCCCAGCCTGCCAGCGCTAAGGAGCGCTCACACGACACAGCAGCAGCGTGGCTGCTATGCCTCGGCAGGGCAGAATAGCTGGAGCTGGGGCAGGCACTTTCCTTTATGGAAACTGCACCCTGCTTCGGCCTCTGCTTGGCCTGCTGGGTCTGGGCCCAGTAGCTTCGCTTTGGGCCAAAGTGTCTGCGCTCTGGGCCCTTCAGACAGTTACAAGGGCCCGCAGCATCCGGTGCCCCCCTCAGTCATGCTCCAAGGGTTTCTTGTCGGCCTCTGGATGCCTGTTCCCAGGGCCTCAACGGAATGAGTCCGGGGCTCAACTGTACGACGCAGCTGCTCCTTCTGGAAAGAGCCAAGAAGGCTCATGTTGCTCTGTAACCAACTGGTGTGCTGCAACCGTCTGGTACCCAACACACGAAAAATGTCCAGAATAGGCCTCACGTGGATTTGCAAGCTCGCCTTCACTTAGGGCGGGCAAGAGGCTTGCCGGGAGCCTGAGACCAGAACGTTTGTATGCCCATTCAGGGAGTGAAAAAAAAAAAAAAAGGGCTCTTGTGGGGCTCAATCCTCACTCAAATTTCCACCCCCCCCCCAAAAAAAAGAAGAAAAGAAAAACGAAACTCTCCCAACAGGTCAGACCTGTATCAGTTCACTGAGGGTGCAACACTACACATGTAACTCCAGGCTATGAAGGTCTTTCGCGTGAACCTGGCAGCAGTCGAGGTTAGGTACATACCAGAAACTGATGACCAGTACTTGCACATGTAATTCCAGGCTATGCAGGTCATTTTGAGGTGGTCAAATGGCCTTACGAGGCATATATTCACACCAGAAAATTTTGACATTAAGTTGGCCGTGATTGTCAACTAGATGCATCCACTAAAATCCGCGAGTCAGTATGTAGTATGTACCCTAAGCTCTCTAACTGGCAGAGCTCTCAGGGCCCAACAAGGTCCCAAGAACCAGTTATGCGGTCACAGGAGGCGCATGGCTGCTCATAGTGCTACAGTGACACCACTGCATGAACTTCACCAAACTAAAACAAAATCTCCACACGACACAAGTAGCACCACTGCCTAGAAGCCCCCATTTCTTCCATGTGCTCAAAAAAGGGCAGCCCGAGGGACTGACAGCCTCTGTGTGTGTGTGTGTGTGTGTGTGTGTGTGTGTGTTTTAAATTTCCACCACAACAGCTCCTTTTCCACCCAGACGAGCAGATTCGATTTGAGCCGCCCAACAATTCAGGAATTTCACCTCTTTAGCACGCAACATGGACCATTTCCGACTGCATTTAGGGGTGTGTGTGTGTGTGTGTGTGTGTGTGTGTGTGTGTGTGTGTGTGACAAAACAACAATGAAACAGTTACCTTTATAGCAAGCAACACGGAGCAAAACAGAACCGTTTAAACTTTCAGCCTAGGCTTGCTATGCCGCCCGGCCGGGCCGGCACGGCCGTGCACCCGTGCAGCCTGCACGGCCTGGCGGCTGCACGGGTCACCCATGCAAGCTTTTTTTTTAATGTTTTTTTGGTCTTTTTGCTTTTTTCCGGTGATGGGCCTCTGCTGCGCCTACAGAGATCTGTCAGAATCTGCCGTGTTTGCAATCGTTTGCCACATCAGTATTTCGCGTGTGGAAGGGGGGCGGAAGGGGGTAGGTTTGGGTGGGGTCTCACTGACTCCTACTGTTCAGAGGTGGGAGGTGGCAGGAGTGGGAGGAAGTGGGAGTGACGTCCGAGATGGTGAAAGGGAGGTTGGAGATGATTGACGGGAGGTAGGAGGTGGCGAGAGTAAGGTGGGAGACAGGGGAAGGGAGGTGGGAGGTGGTGGGAAGAGAGGTGGGAGGTAGCGAAGGAACGTTAAAGATGGCGGAAGTGAGGTTGGGGATGGCGGAAAGGAGGTGGGAGGTGGTGGGAGGAGAGGCGTAGACAGATGTCACACAGGCTACGTGGCTTCCTACATGCTAGGAACAGAGAGGCACCTCAACCGCAATCGTATAGGCATTGTCATTCCTTCCCATCTTCAAATTGGACTTGGTGCAATGAACTTGCAGGAATCAGCGGGTGTATACTACCAATAAGGTTGTTTTGTTAGTTAACATTGAGTATTATGTATTGTTATTCCTATAAAAAAATGAGGACATTTACCCTATTTTTCAATGAAATGATCCAAAAATAGAAAACTTAGTTTCCTTGCTGTTTGAGCACCGCAGGACTTGATCCCTCGACCTGTCATTTGCTGGGTTCCCTCTTGTCTCTAAGCTTAGACCACTAGGACGCTTGGTTTTGTCCTTTTCTGCTTTTCCTCTGTAGGCCCGTAGGTCTGTGTTTCACGGTGCCCTAGGTCGAGAGTAAGTCGGGGAGTCTAGAAGTAACGGGCAGGAAATGGGATTGGGGGTCTTTTCACTCTTGACCTTGCTCTCGACCTAGGGCACCGCGAACTACAGACCTACGGGCCTGCAGAGGAAAAGCAGAAAAGGACAAAACCAAGGGTCCTAGTGGTCTAAGCCTAGAGTCGAGAGTAAGTCAGGGAGTCTAGAAGTAGCGAGCAGAGAACGGGAAACGCTGTCAGGTTGGGGATTGAGCGCAGCAGGGCTATTTGGGACTCAGCTCGTCATCTTCTTCTTCGTTTGAAGGCCATAGCTGTGTGGCCGTGAGGATTGTTGAAGAGCGCCCCGAAGCAGGGCTTCATTGCAGCCAGTGCTTCACCACGCCTGTGTTGTTTTCGGTTTGGGCGCTGTCAGTATCTCCAGGTGGCAGCCTGACACTGAAGCTCCTCCTCGCGAGGGCCTCTCTTCTTCGAAGGAATGGTCGTCTTCTTCTTCATCAAGGATCTCTGGTGCTGCACTTCCGTGCAGGCACTGAGATGGCGCTACTGTTTTGGGGATCGCTAGTTCAGATTGGCTCCGGGGTGATATTTCAGGGGTTCTGCTGCTATGGCAGCCATAGCCAGGGCGACGAGGAGGCGGGGAGGAAGAAGAAGACATCCCTGAAACTTCATTGAACATGTGATTTTGGTTGCTCAGGGTTGTTGACAACGCGGTTGTGATTCTTGGAATAGTACTACTCTTGATTGATTGATTGATTGATTGATTGATTGATTGATTGGAGGAGGACGGGGGTAATTCAGAACTGAATTTTCACTTCAATTCTCCCTTGTGTACGGAGCTTTCGCTGCATAGCTCATCCCGGTTTTTGTGTGGATTTGCCTCCTTCGAGTCTACTCTGCAATTGCATGCGTGAATGGGAACGTGTGAACTCACCGTGGATTGAAGTTCGATCGGGTACATAACACATGACACATGTCAGGGTGCCGTGCATGAGTGCAATGTTGACTGTCATCATAGATGTACAAAACACAAAAACTTGCATGTGTGTATGTTGTGTGTGTGGGTGTGTGTGTGTGAGAGAGAGAGAGAGAGAGCTGCTGAAAAACATACCTGAGATAGAGTGGGAGATGCTGGCCAAATGGTCTTGAGGTATCCAACTGGTTCTGGCGGTACTTGCCCGGGAGACCGCCTGCGCCACGCGTCCAGAGCTGGTACGAATGCAAGGCATCCTGTGGCGGCTCGCGGCTCGCCTCCTCTTCTTTCATCAGGAACGCCAGTGAGGATGCCGTGCGAGGGTCTGGCAGGTTGTGCAAATCGGGCTTGAACCGCCTCCTGTTCTCTCTCCTCTCCTCTGCTCTCTTCGGATTCCAGAAACCCACCTCATGTCCCAGCCTGGTACACCATGCAAGAGCTTTCACTGCAAAGAAACATGACAGCATCGGGAGTTGGTTTATGAAAACAAATACCTATCTAAAAAAAAGGGGCTGTGGTGGTACAGTGAGCGCGCAGGTATCTTCCTTATTACCCAACTGACCTTGCCGATCATTTAAAAAAAAAAAAAAAGCCCGCAAATTTCTGCACGAAAACAACATGATGAACGAAAWCTGTTTCGCCAATATGACTGATACAATTGTCAGCAGCAACATGTTTTTTTCCTGGTCCTTTCTTTTCTTTTTTTTTTTTTGTGTGTGTGTGGGGGGGGGGAACCATTTCCCAATTTCTGCGAGCCATCCTTGCACAGGGGCCATGCTAATCTATCTTCTCCATATCATTCCAATTTGAGTTTTGAACCAATGTCCCAAAGAACAGCAGCATGGGATGTTCTACAACCTTTTTTTTCCCCTTTTTTTTCCTTTTTTTTTCCCTTTTTTTTCCTTTTTTTTTAATTGTAAGGACCTGCCAAACACAGACTGAAATACACAGCTGCCAATGGAATGAATGCCTTGCTGAGATTCCCGTTTGTTGCTGAGTTTTCTAAGTCCGTGTGTGTGTGTGGTTGATGGTCTGTGTGTCTGTCTGAGTGCTTGTCGGTTTGAGTGTGACGTGAACTGTGTTCCTTTCTTGGTCTTGCATCATACTATATTTTGGGACGTCACTTCAAAGTCTTCTCAGATCACGAGATTTTGGAAATGGATCAAGGAGGAAACTACCTTATCCTCTACATTGACTCGCTGGTTCCATGAGATCGACATTTTCAATTTTGAATTAAAACACAAGAATGGTTGTTATAGTCGAGTTGTTGATGCATTGTTTCGCCACCCAGAGTATATGACTTGCCTTGTGAACTCCTACGACCTCCGGAAGAAACTAAAGGAGGTACTCGTGGAGCAAACTGCCAAGGATCCGGACCTCAGTCCAATCCTTGAGCAGCTGCCGGCTGACCTCAGCAGTCAGCCTGATTTTCACGAATGTGAAGGTCTGGTTTTTCAACGCACAGAAAGAATGACCGGTTGTGTGTAGACAACCATGAGCCTCTCCGGACACACTTCTTGGATTTGGCTCACAGTCGGAGTGGACACTTCGGCATTACAAAAACCTACGGAAACCTGCTGCAACAGATTGCCTGGCCTGGTATGAAAGGATCTGCTGAAAAGTTTGTGGCTGAGCGTCAAGTCTGTCAACGATCAAACCATCAAGGCAAAAGCCCATAGGGTTGCTCAAACCTCATCCCATTCCGGACGGTCCCGGAGAGTCCGTCTCTATCGACTTTACGGACATGGGAAAGACAAGTAAGAACAGATATTCGCAAGTGATAGTGATTGTTGACCATTTTTCCAAATTCCTAAATTTACTTCCGTTGCCACCTCATGGCCCAACTGAACTTGTGATCCGTGAGTTTCACCCGAAGTACATTCTGCAGTTTGGGAACCCGAAACCCCTTATGAATGATCGGGACCCACGCTTCATACGTAATGATTGGAAGGACTTCACGTCCCAACTCCCTGGCCTCAAACTGAAGATGACATCTGGTCGACATCCCGAAGCCAACAGTTTGGCGGAGGAAAACTAACCAGACTGTGTTTCGGCTTTTCCGTGCCTTAATTATCCCGGAGGAAACGTGGGATGAAGAGTTGTATTCGGTCAAGGGGTTGTAAAACAACTCCATTCATTCTTCCACCGGCATGACGCCAAATAGGCTGCATTCTGGTTGGCAGATCCGTAATCCGCTCCCCTACTTGTTCCTTGAACAGCCACCTGGTCTAACGCCTGACAGGCCTGGCTTCAGCGCTAAGTATAACCGCTTGCTCAAGGTTGCCATTGCAGCAATGACCAAGCCACAACACGCCATGAACCATCACGCGAATAAGAAACGCACACCATTGACTATCAAAGTGGGTAGTTACGTATGGGTCAAGATGTCTGAATTTTTTTAAGACGAGGGGGTGTTGCGGAAACTTCTCCCTCTTTATTATGGTTCGTGGGAAGTTCTGGATGTGATTGGTAAGGACTAGTTTGGTCCTTCATACATGATTACCGTGCCTCCCCATTTGTGCATGTACCCAGTCTTTCACGCATCCAAACTGTTTCCATATCTTGATGCCAAATCGTTGGAATACCGTGAGAATATGATTCCCCGTGCATTCAAAGGCGGTCACGAGATAGATAGAATTGTACAGCATATTGGCGAGAGGGTTGTAACAGACAGTATTAGGTTCACTTCATGTATCGCTGTTGAATAATCTTTATTGGATTCAAAGAAGGAACTGCTGCAAAGCGCACCTCGTGTTGTTAGAGCATATGAAAGACAAATAGTTTCTGGTGCTGTTGCAAAAATCTTTGCAAAGCTCACTGCTACTGAGTATTCACGAAACCTCTTTGCTATCTATGCTTACGATGTGTTTGTCAGGGGCTCAGATTGGGTCACCCACTCGAAGGGACCCCGCTCTCAAGGGGGGAGTTTAAGGACCTGCCAAACACAGACTGAAACACACAGCTGATTTCTGAGTTTTGCCAATGGGCTGAATGCCTTGCTGAGATTCCCGTTTGTTGCTGAGTTTTCTAAGTCCATGTGTGTGCATGCTTGCTGGTCTGCGTGTCTGTCTGAGTGCTTGTCGGCTTGAGTGTGTGTGTGACCCGCAAGGGGCCCTTGTTCGTTCGGGAGGCCCAAAGGGCCGGTACTTACCTGTGGCCGTGACTTTGAGGGTTGCAGTGGGGAAAACACTCAAGTGGCGGGAGTAGGCCCGCGACACTTAGAGCAGCGGGGAAAACACTGAAGTAGCGGGTAGGACAGTACCACACCAAGTAGTGGTAGATGTGTTGGGTACTCAAGGCCGAGCAGAAGAAGACAAAAGTGGCATTTTTAGAGGCCCAGTAGTTGTAGGCTAGGTCTAGGCGGGTACCAGTCCAAGTAGTCTGAGTCTACGGCCTGTACGGGCAATATCAGAGTCTGCAATGATGTTCCCTCCGAAAGGGATGAGGTACCGGTTGGCTTCGAGGCCGCGCGGCCTGGAAGTCACCGCCCAATCGGCAAGCAGGCCGCTATATCTCCAGGAGGAGCAAAGTGCTCCTCCTCATTCTACGGTGTGCAAGTTTGGCGACAAACTGGTTGGAGCGCTGGCTGGAGCAGCGTTCGGCTCAGCAGCACTGCTGGGGGAAGGAGCACCCAGCTCCCTCCACCATGGCTATGGTGGTGAGCTCGGGATGGAGGAGAAGGCGATGACTAGGAAGGGGAGAGCGCCAGAAGTACTTACCGGGCTATGGTGGATGCCATCTTCATCACCTTGGTGGGCGCTGCATTTGGAAGGCCCCCATTGGGGTAGAGCTACATCAAGAAGCTTTGAGGCAGAGTCAGGCATGGCGGCCTGAGCCGGAGCAGCCATAGCTGCTTTGAGTTGTCTTTTGCACAGCAGGGCAAGGTCCTAGCGGTCCGCCATAGCCTCGGCCTTCGGAAGAGGAAGGAGAAGGGTGGCCATGGCTATGGTGGACTTCATGCTGTACCTGCAGTAGAAGAGGGATTTGAACATTGATTCTGGTTCAGCCATTCAACATTATTATTATTATTTAATATTTATTGTGAATAAAGAGGGAAGGAGAAAATGAGGAGTGTGGCTGGCGAGAACAAGGGAATTATCATTGGTCTTTGCTGGTGTACATCTTCTTCTTCTTCTTCTTCTTCTTTCCCTCTCTCTCCTCTCAAATTCATTCATTTCTTGTTGCAGTTGGACGGCATTGTGCTTTCTCATGAGTTTGTACTTTGAAATTCGCCAGGATCATAACATTATAATGGTCCGATGGAGCACGGATCAGATATTAAACTGATCAGAACAGATACACTGCACTTGATCTTACTTAGCCAAAAGGCCGAGAAAGGTATGGGATGTTCAAAAACCTAATTTGATAAATTTTAATATTTCATAAGTAAAGCCAGTGCAGCTATGCCCGCAAACATGGAAATATCGATGAGATATTCGAGGTCTGCATAAGTATCCATCTATAGATCTCATGGACGATAAGTCTCTCTCTCTCTCTCTCTCTCTCTCTCTCTCTCTCTCTCTCTCTCTCTCTCTCTCTCTCACACACACACACACACACACACACACAC